GGGATACACTCGGGCCACCCCGTGTATGTGCATACAAAGACCAATAGAGCATTGTAGTGGCTGGAACGGGGCAAGTTAGTGAAATTGATCATTAATGAATCAAATGGGTAACTGCCCCAAGGTTGATGGCCTGGTGGTGGTTAGGGTCCTTGACTGGGATTATTTGCTGCACAAATTTCACATTGAGCACAAACGTTTGCCGCAACGCTGTGTATTTTGTTAATATACACTTCTCGTTGCAGAGCATTTGCCAAAGCAGTTTTTCCTAGGTGCAGCTGTCTGTGTACTTGTTGTGCTATGTCCCATGCCATACGTCCTGGTATAAAAACTCGATTATCTGGCAGAATCCACCAACCCTCTTCCAGTTGGGCCTCAAGTGCTTCAATTTGGTTCATGTCTTCTTGAGACTAATAGGGGTGAGGTGTCCATACAGTGAGGCATTGCGCTTGTATCATTGGAGTCCTCTGGGCTGCCTTTCGTGCCATTCTATCTGCTTTATTGTTATTCTGCTTATTTATTATTCCCTTTTTGTGTATCAGAGGCCACTTTTTGATGCCCTTGGCAGTGGATGATGGCAACCTTTTGGGGGGCCCATACGCTTTCTAGGAGGTGTAGTATTTGGGGGCCATATTTAATGTCCTTGCCTCCCGCCATGATAAGTCCTCTTTCCTTATATAGGGCACCATGGACTTGAACCATGAGGAAAGCATATTTAGTCTGTATATATATATGTTGACACATTCACCTTTTGCAAGCTTCAAAGCTCTAGTTAATGCATGCAGTTCAGCTAACTGAGCACTTGTGCCTGAAGGGAGGGTCTCCGCTTCCCAAACATCATCCAAAGTAACCACTGCAGACCCTGCCCATCTGATTCCTTCCTGTATAAAGCTAGTGCCGTCTGTATATAGGGTATACTTCGGGGAAGGAAGGGATACATCAGTCATGTCAGGGTGGCTGGCATATGTTTCCTCAATCATTTGGATACAATCGTGAGTGGTCTCTAAGTCCGGTTCAGGCAGTAATGTGGCAGGGTTTAATGCGTTGGATTGTATAATATTAATCATAGGGTTATGGGTGATTAAGCCTTGATATTTCAGCATTCGAGGGTTGGTTAGCCACAAATGGCCCTTTGTTTCCAGGACAGCTTTAAGGGCATGAGGAGTGTAAATGTGAAGCTCTTGTCCAAAAGTCAGTTTACTGGCTTCTTGAGTTAAGATAGCAGTCCCAGCCACTGCCTTAAGGCAAGCAGGCCATCCTTTCGCAACATTATCCAGCTGTTTAGAGAGATAAGCTACAGGGCGATGCCATGTTCCTATTTTCTGAGTGAGGACGCCCACAGCTACATTCTGTTTGGTATCTACAAATAATTGAAACGGCTTATCCAGATCAGGGAGGCCTAAACAACGCTTCCTTAAGCAATCAGAAACTAGTTGCTTCCTGCGCTCCCCACTGTAACGGCTCCTTATCCTGTCCTTTGGTAGCTTCATAGAGGGGCTTGGCAATCAGGCTGAAATTGGGGGTCCAGATACGGCAAAAGCCAGCAGCTCCTAAAAAGCCTCTCAAGTCTCTCCTGTTGTTAGGTGTTGGAAGCTGACATATGGCCTCTTTGCGTTCGTGGTCCAAGGTAAGTTTCCCCTGCTCTATGTCATAGCCCAAATATTGGACCTTTTCTAAGACCAACCGAGCCTTTTTCTTCGAGGCCTTATATCCCAGGTCTTGCAAGAGGAGTAATAAGTCTTGTGTATTTTCCCAGCAGTTATCTTTTGTGTGGCCAGTAACCAATAGATCATCCACATACTGTAACACCACATCAGGAGGGGGTATAGTCAGAGCTTCCAAGTCTTTGGCCAAGGCAGCCCCAAATAGGGTAGGCAAGTTCTTAAATCCTTGGGGTAACCTGGTCCATGTATACTGTTGCTTTCAGCCAGTTAAGGGGCTTTCCCACTCGAATGCAAAGAGATGTGTTTTTTTTAATTAAAGTTTTATTTGGGTTTTCACACATTTTTTGAAAATAGCATGGTCCCAGGTTGCACTTCTTTATACAGACACAAACTCATTTTCAAGCTCATTTTTGTGTTCTATTCCATATCTTATTACTATTTTGCATTTTCTATATAGTATTTCCCCTCTTTTAATTTTCTTAATTCTATTTTGATTATCTCATCTCAATTCAAATCATTATATTTATACTTTTGTCTGTCCTGAATAGTGAAATAGTGAATAGTGAATAGTGAAACCACGTCGAAACTTACTAGCAGATCTCTTTGTTCCACGTGTAGATCTTTGATCATTTCCAAGAAGTGGTATGAGTTTTGTACATGTGAAGCTGCTGTTTCAGCATGGGGCTGTAGCTGAGTGTTTAGCTAGGTTTTGTAGTGGTGCTCCTCTGGAGCTGACTATGGGTCTGAGAGGCATGCCTTCTTTGTGTATTTTTGGGAGGCCGTATAGTTTGGGGCATCTGGAAGATTTTTCTCTTGGGATGATCATCCGTTGGATCTCTTTGCTCATGTGGCTGGTTATAATTTTCTTCTTGGTTAATTTTTCCAGATATGTGGTTGGGTCCGTGTTTATGGGTTTGTATGTGGAGTCTTGGAGTAGGTCTGTCAATTTTGTTTCGTAGTCTTTTCTATTCATTACTACTGTGGCATTCCCTTTGTCTGCTGGAAGTATGATTATGCTGCTATCTTTCTTTTAGGGCTTGCAGCACTTTGAGTTCTTCTTTGTGCAAGTTGCTTTTGGGTGGTTTGCTTGTGCATAGGATGTTAGTAACTTGGTGTCTTGGTGTCTATATCAGCTTCATCTGTATTTAATTTAGTTAGGCTGGATTCTACTGCACATATGATGGATTCTGTGGGGATTTTTTGGGGTGCTATAGCATAATTGAATCCTTTGGTTAGGACATCTGTTTCTGTTTTGGTGAGTTCTCTGTTAGAAACGTTATATACTAATTGTTTCAGGTGGTGTTGTGAGTTGTTGGGGGCTTTCTTGTCATGTTCTAATTTCTTTAGTTTCTTCAAGAGTTTGTCATTTTTGTAAGTGGTTTCCGTTTCAGCTCTCCAAGTTGTAAGTTGTTTTATCTTGTTCCAAAGTAGAGGGTGGATTTTGCTGCTCAATTCCAGGTGTAGTGCTAGCAAATCTTTGTTTAGCTGATCCAATTGGAATCTCTTTCTGTGGAGCTCATTCTGAGTAGAGCCATTTCAGTTCTTTTCAGGATACGTTTAGTATATATATGTGTGTGTGTGTGTGTATATATATCTATATATCTATATATATGTGTGTGTGTGTGTGTATGTATACATATATATATATATATATTTGTGTGTATATATAGTTGTGTATGTGTATGTGTGTGTGTGTGTGTGTGTATGTTTTCTTAAGTTTTCGCGGGTACTTACATGTATGGCATTCAGCTTTGTTTGGGTATTTTCCCACGTCATTGTAGTTGTGCTTTTAAAGTTGTAGCAACGTTTCAGCAGAATCTCATCTGCCATCATACATCTGCCCTATACAGAAGCCTGATGATGGCAGATGAGATTCTGCCGTTTTGACGAAATCTCATTCGTCATCTTCACAAGAACACAAGAACTCAATCAAAAAAGAAGAACTGACTTCTTCCCTGGTCCAGCACCTCAAAGCCACAGGACATGAGATTGACTTTAAAAATATCAGAACTATCGCCAAAACCGAACACTTCAACAACAGAATAATCAGAGAAGCCACAGAGATATAAAAACACCCACACAGCATGAATAAACGAGATGATACCTCCCGTCTACCAGCCATTTGGAAACCCACCCTCATTAACAAATGAGTGCCTAACATGAAGAATGGCACCAGATCCACACCCACGAAGGCCACACAAGATGCTACCACCACACTTCCACGTAGAAAGTAGATTCACACCCACACAGATGATGAGACACAACCTCGGACCAGAAGCCATACTGCAGCTGCACCACTACCCACTTCAAGCCCCTCCGACCCATACATGAAGCGAACTGACGCCCACCATGAAGATGTGGCACAACCACGAATGTGAAGCCAAACAACAGGATCACAGCTCACCAGCTCAAATCCCCCAGCAACTAAGACTAACCTGAACACAGCCAAGCCCCCACCCAATCAGAACACAGCCAAGCCCCCACCCAGTCAAGCCGCACTCCCACTGGCAATTAAAAGAAAAAACAGCTGCAAGCTCACATTACTCCAAGAAGCACAAAGCCGAAGACACAAGCCTGAAGATGAGTCGAAACATCGCTACAACTTTAAAAGCACATGTATGTGTGTGTGTCTATATCTATATATATGGCATTTATTTTTACTTTTTTCTTCCCTCCATGGCATTTTCCTCCTTCCTCAAACCTTCTTCCAAATAAACCTGGTTCCCCTTTCCCTTAACATCCAGCTTAATTTACTTTCCCACCCAAGTAAACTGGTGTGAATCAAAGAAAGTAGCTGGGGACATGTGAGTATGTGCATCGTTTTGTATTTATTAATTAATTGATTTGTCATGTTTATAAAGCATATCTTGGAGATGGCGGCCCTTTGAGAGCTGTACGCCACGCAATTTTATTTTAACGTACGTCTTATTTAGCGTCCATTCAAAGTGACCATAAAGTTGGTATAAGTCTGGAGCGAGGAGCGGATAGCACAACGCGCCATCTTCTTCCCGGCCTAGCTACGCCCCCGGGGCAGGGTCAATCTCCCTCGTGGGCCCATTCAGACGCTCTTTGAACTAGTCCGCCAAAGGAGACGAACCGAGCCTTAAAGTCTTCTGGCGGGAAGCCGAGAGAGATCCCGGTTCAGCAGCGCACGGCCTCAAATCAGCCGATGTCTAGCCTCCACCAAGAGGGCGCCCGGGGGACCGCGCTACCTGCTGACCCCGCCTCCGCCCCCTGTGGAAAAGCGAGGCGCGCCCGGCCCCAGCCGATCCCGCCCTCTTTTGGATACGCAAATCAGCTCCTTTTTTTTCCCCCAGGGGCGAGCCTGAGTCGCGGATCTTCCAGGGAGGCCGAGCGAGGGTCCGGAGCGGTGGGTAGGGAGCAGCCTTGGAAGAGACGCAGATGAGATTCTACTATTCTACTACTACTACTATTACTACTACTACTACTATGAGGGACGTTCAGTAGCCTTGGATGCCCGGCGTCGCGCGGTCTGAGCCCAGCCGGAGCGCTTTGCTTAGCAACCGGCTGAGCAAAAAGAAATAATAAAAATAAAAAAGAAGGCAGCATCGCTCGGAGCTTTTGGCGCGGCGGCTCAAGAGAAAAAGCTTGGTGGGCTGAATGCATCGCTTGGGCGTCCGCGGAAGGAGCCGCCGTCGCTTCGGGCTTTAGGTCCGTCTTTTACTCCGGGCTTGTGGCCGTCCCCGGGAGACTATGCGGTCTGGGAAGCCTCCGTATATTTTCGCCGTCTTCGTGCTGAGCGGTCTCTCGGCGCTGCTGCTCCTGTTCCTCGGGCAACCTCCCCCGGTCTCCAAACAAACTCCGCCGCCTCGGTTACTCCAGCTGCCTCAGCTCCGGGAGAGCGATTTCCTCCGGCGCGTCTGTGGGGCTCTGGCTCGGGGGCAGAAAACCTTCGTGTGGGGAAACCATCTCCGGACGCCCTTGGAGCGAGCCGCCTCCTGCCAAGATTATGTGTCGGGGAGCCACTATGTGACCAAATCCGTCACTGCCGAAGAGGCGACCTTTCCCTTGGCTTACATCTTCACCCTCCACAAAGAGCTGAGCACCTTCGAGCGGCTCTTCAGGGCGGTTTACGCGCCCCACAATGTCTACTGCATCCACGTGGATGAGAAGGTGCCCGCCAGGTACAAGCAAGAGGTGGAGAAAATGCTGGAGTGCTTCCCCAACGCCTTCCTGGTCTCCAAAGCCGAGCCTGTCGTTTACGCTGGCATCTCCAGGCTTCAGGCTGATTTGAACTGCATGAAGGACCTGCTGAGATCCACCACCCAGTGGAAGTACGTCCTCAACATGTGTGGGCAAGATTTCCCACTGAAAACCAACAAGGAGATTGTCCAGCACCTGAAGAAGTTCAAAGGGAAGAACCTCACCCCTGGCGTCCTCCCCCCACCGCCCATAACTTTAAGGACCAAATTTGTTTACAAGGAGCACATAGGCAGGAAAGCTTCCTACATGAAAAGGACCGAGATCCTAAAACCGCCACCTCCCCACAACCTCACTATCTACTTTGGGTCTGCCTATATTGCTCTCACTAGGCCTTTTGTGGAGTTCCTTTTCAATGACTCAAGGGCCCTTGATTTGCTGCAATGGTCCAAAGACACTTACAGCCCCGATGAACACTTTTGGGTAACACTCAATCGGATTCCAGGTAGATCTGGCTCTTTCATTTCTATGTAGTAATTGTATTAGACATGATAATTGAAAAGATAAAAACCAATGCAAATGAGAGAGAAAAAACAGAAATAGAAAGTGCAGAAAAAGAGAAAAGAGATAGTAAAGGGGGAAAAAGTGACTTTCCCTTTCTTCACAAATAGTATAAATAATTTTACTAGCTTACCACCTTCTCTTAAAATACAATATATGGTATCTTCTTCCTTTATCTATAAACAAATAATTAGAGTTGCACCATTCAGTCCTAATCAGCAAAAATTCATTAAGGGTTACCAGAGATAATGGTATGTCTATTTTGACCTTGATCAAATCAACCAATTTTATATGCTTTTTAACAATCTTGAACTTTAATCCCTTCAAATAATGCCCTAGAAAAGTGAAAGGTAACCTTTTTGGGCTCCCATGCTGAAATTTGTGCATGCGCTTGCATGCCAGCACCCAGAAGGCAATGCGCGCGAGACAGCCCCCCCCACACACACACACACGCCCCGCGCATGTATCATTCTTATAGCCTGTCATTTTAAAATCCACTTCCAGGTCAGCTTCAGTCTTGCATGGTAAAACTTGTTCCTTTTCCATGACATCTTTTAAACACAGTCTCTCTAAAAAGACAGGCATTCCTCAAATTAATTTCTGGGCCCATTGTTCAAAAATATCCAACTCTTTTACTTTTCAACAGGAACCTTAGCTGGCTAGCAGATGACAAGGTCTGAAATAGTCACAGATGACTGGAACATAGGGTTGACATCATGGGAAGCAGTAATTAGTTGATGACAGCAATGCTAAACCACCTGAGATTTCCCATTTATTCACAGCCATGAACCCAACAAAAACAAGAAATAATTATAGGGACACAAATCAAATGATTAGTTACTTCGTAACAAATTCCACCCTAATAAATAATCGCAAGAAATATTTTGTTTCAAAACATGCCTAGAGTGGAATTTGTTTGAAACCTCTTTGTTAAAATGCCCTTAATCTTATGAATTATAGCCTTAATCCTATGAATTGGTAAACCTATTTCAATTTTTAAAGGTCAATGGAAAATAAACCGCAGAGTTTCCAAAGCATCTGTCAAAGGACTAGGCAGTTAATTCAGGTATACTTTAAGGTTACTCATGTGGTTGCCAGTGTGAACTAATTTTTAAGGGAGTTGAAGAATCTCAAAATCATATTATTGGATGAGGTCAAAAGGACAGGTGATTTTCCAGACTTTTTAAAACCACTGCAATATCTATGGAGGTAAATTATTTCACCGTTGGACAGATTTCACCATCAGGAAGTTTTTACTTATGTTGACACAAAATCTAGGTACAGTAGTTGCATTCATACTCATCCATTCAGATCCTGGTTTCTGTGGCAATAGAAAATACTTCCTGATGACCTGTGTACCATCTTTCCTCATTCTTCTTTTGTCCAAAGTCAACATTTCTAGTTCCTATAGCTTATCTTGATAGACCATGTTGTCAAATCCATTTTTCATCATTGTCACCCTTTTGTGAACCTGTTTTATGCTATCAGAGGCCATCTGGAAATCTGATACCCAGAATCATTCACAGTAATGATGCTCTGAATCAAGCTAACAGAGAGTGTGACAGCAAAAGAAAATGCTCATAAAAATCTATGTTTGAGATTATTAGGGAAAAAAGAGTGAAATGGATAATGTAGTATACTTAGAATGAGTATCATTGGTTTCAAAGATAAGCACAGAAGAAGCAACATTCAGTTTGGAAAATCATTAAGAATAAACCATTTACTGCATCCAGTTTTGTTCACCACATTGTAAAAAGGATGTTGAGACTCTAGAAAAAGTACAGAGAAGAGCAGCCAGGATGATTAGGGGACTGGAGGCTAAAACATACAATGAACGGTTGCAGGAACTGGGCTTGGCTAGTCTAGTAAAGAGAAGGACCAGGGGAGACGTGATAGCGGTCTTCCAATATTTGAAGGGCTGCCACAGGGAGGAAGGGGTCAAGCTATTTTCTAAAGACTGCCATTTGTCAGAAATGGTGTAGGGTCTCCTGCTTGGGTCGAGGGGGGGGGGGTTGGACTAGATGACCTACAAGGTCCCTTCCAACTCTATCTGTTAATCAGTTAGAATTCTTGCCTTTTTATGGGTTTTGCCAAAACATCTATGTAGGAAAAGGATTCTGGGCCATTATAAGGTGGTGGATGAAAAGGTGTTTTTTGGCTCAGGTCCAGCCAGTTTTCTCTTAAGATGCAAGACAGGTCTGATAAAACTTGATGTGCTAAGAAGGAAGCAGACTTCTCAGAGGCCTCATCACCTGAAACTTGAGGTGACTCAATAACTTTGACTATGAACAGGGAGAGGAACAAAGATAAAATTTTCCACCTTCCAATACTTATTTAGCTTACTGATTTGTCCTAAGATACAGTCAATGCTACTGGTTTAAGAAAGTTAGTTAAATAAATGGAGGTTATATACATCAGTCACCTTTAGCTTGAGAATTCAATTTTAAAACAAGAAAAATATCTCGCCTTTGTATGTAAACTCAGTGGATTGTAGAATTGAGCCAATATGTATTAGACCAACACACAAGAGTCTTATTTTCAAGTGGAGGAAAAAAAAATCTACCTGAGTTTCATCCCTTAAAATTAGTGTTCTCCCACCTCAGAGGTCTCCAAACATTTGGACTAATGGACAAACTAGAATTTCAAGGAAATATTCTTTTATAAAAGAAGTGTTCAGTAAGATTAATAGTGTAAGATTAGTAAGATTAATAGTGTCAAAATTATTCTGGGACTCTTATATAACAACATAGGTTTGTTATTTGTCTGTAGAAAATTTATTGCTCTTGGCAATTGAAAAGTTGAACATGAAGATAGGTTTGAAATGAATGTTTTGGCTATGACACGCTTCACGGATCAAAAGCTTGATAAAAAATGATGCTAAGAGATAATATAAGGACAATGTAAAGAAATACAGTATTGGTACACGTAGTCCTCGGCTTACAACAGTTCATTTAGTGACCATTTGAAGTTACAATGGCACTGAAAGAAGTGACTTATTCACACTTAAACCATTGCAGCATCTGATAGCCACATGATCAAAATTGGTTCATATTTATGTCAGTATCTTGGGGTCCTATGATCACCTTTTGCAACCTTCTGACAAGCAAAGTCAATGGGGAAGCCACTTAACAACTCTTTACTAACTTAACTGCAGTGATTCTTAACAACTGTGGCAAAAATGGTCATAAAATGGGGCAACATTCACTTAACAAATGTCTCACTTAGCAGCAGAAATGTTGGGCTCAGTAGTGATTATAAGCTGAGGGTTATCTGTACTTTATTTTCATCAGAATCCAGAAGTTACAGCCAGCATGCAGCAGTCTTCATTAAATAGACACTGTCTAACACTAATGAAAGAAAAAATTTTCCCGTTTCAGTACACAAGAGAAATATTTAACAAAGTTATATGTTTAGTTAAATACAGAAATATAGGATGGTTTTGTGGCCCACCGGCGGCAGCAGAGCTGGCAGCAGACAGTGAGGAGGTTGGGGAAGAACATAGGCCAGTCCTGGAGTCTGGGGAAGGCTGTGACAAGTGCTCTGCGTCAGAGGCAGAGATGGGGCCAGGGCCATCTGATAGTTATCAGCTGCCTTCAGAGTCGGACATCAGTGGGGCAGAAGAACAGCTGGAGCCTGTTCCAAGGGTGTGCATGCACAGAGCTGCCAGGAGAAGGGAACAACTAAGGAACAAGGGTCAATTCGGGAGTAAAGCCACAGGTGGATGGTGAATGGCCCCTCCCAAAGGGAATAAAGAGGAGCCAAAAGGGAAGGGGTGTTTGCAGGAGAGAATTAGTTCAATTCATTAGGGTGAAGATCTGTTCATGACTTCTTGCCAAATATTGTCTGCTACAGAGTGGCATTTGGAAGATAACAGCCTGGCAACTCTCCAAGCCTGATAAAGGCCTGTAATGGTGAAATCATTTTAAAGACTGGGACTTTGCTAGAGGGGAATTCACTTTAAACCAAATAAAAGGGGTTTTACAAGGAGTCATTTTCGTGCTTTTGGAAGCCTAGGTCAGAACAGATGGCAGCATGCAATGGTCCTTTTTCCTCCTCTGAACTCCTGTTTTTTAGATGTGCTTGACTAATATTCTCATCCCTCTCATAATTATGGGGAATGCAAGTTGGAATCCAGGACAGCTGTCTTTGCCTAAAGATAAGCCAGTCTTGATGTGTGCCACCATCGTTTGCTGTGTTATATCCAAGCCATGCAAGAAACTAACTTTATAAAATTGGAGCCTGCCTAGAGGCTACCTCAAGGGCAGAAATATTGCAAAGCATAGATACTTTTCATTGAATAACAAGAGTGTCCTGTCTATCTTTTAGATAACCTTTTGGTTAAAAAACCCCCCAAAACTTCCTTTCTTCTTGGGATCTGGGTTGGCTGGACAGACAAGTCAGGCTTCTTCAGCGCTTCTATTTTATTCTTTTTCACTGCTCTGGGCAATTTCGTAGATTGCGAAAGTAAAATTAGCGCCCAAAGGGAGAAGTGACTCCTACCATCACTAAATGTTCCAACGAGATATTTCTCTGCAACTGAACATTCATCATAGCATTTCAACAGGTCTTGATGAAAAGCCAACTCTGCAGCAAGAGAAAAGGTTAAAAAAAAATCTTAATGATAACCTTTTGCTTGTTGATTGTTTCAGTAAAACTCCTGAGGCTGAGGCATGGAGAAGTGAGCTACCGATACTTGAAAATTGGGTTTTATGGGCAAGAGTTTTAAAGGAAGTTGCTTCAGGGGGTGTTGTTTTGTGGAAACCCTGTAATTTGCTGAGACTCAAGAGCTTCCACTCTCCCATGCTTATATCACCCAATTTCAACCATTTGGACTAATGAGGAAGAGTTTGTTTTCAAGAGAACTATATAATATCGATGAATTGATTTTCAGGAAGGTGGGAGGTTATTTGGAAAAAATAGATACACACTTTTGCTTGGTTTTCT